CTGGGACACCATACTTCCCTACGTAACTTTTTCGTATAACACTGCTGTTCAAGAAAGTACCGGTTTCACACCTTTTCGCTTAGTCGACGGTCGCGACGTCACGACGATGCTCGACGCCATGCTCCTGCCCGACAACTTAGGAATGTACCACACGGATGCCGCCAAATTCGCGCAGTGCGCAGAAGAGGCCCGTCAACTTGCCCGTCACCGTATTCAACGTCACCAAACCGCAGACGCGCGCCGCTACAATCTTCGCCACCGTGAAGTTATTTTTAAGCCAGATGACGAAGCCTGGGTGTGGACCCCTATCCGACAGCGTGGACGTTCCGAAAAGCTTCTTCGCCGCTACTTCGGCACTTACAAGGTTGTGCGACGTCTCAGCGACATCTCTTACGAGGTTCTCCCACAAGGCGCGATTCGAGACGTTCCCGTTTCACCCCGCAAACTGAAGTCATTCACGTTTCACGTCTCAAACCATACTTTTCGCGCTGTGAATCGCTAGTGAGTGACTGACTTTATTGGTAACTTCGCGTCTTTCTTTTTGTTTCGTCTTTTTTTTACATTTTTCCTATTTTTTTATTTCTCATTTACCTTTTGTCCCCACAACCAACTATACGTTATCCCGCCCTACGCCGTTCATTTTGCTCGCATGCTAATTTTCATCTAATTTTCTTTTCTTTTTTTTGCCTTCATGTACAGCATCGAGACGATGCTTCTTGGGAGAGGGGGTAATGCCACCATTGATGAACGAGCCACTGTGGCTCATACGCGTTTTTGGGCACGAAGAAGAAGAGGACATCTTCGTTGCTCTGGTTCAAGTGAACTCCTGGCTGCAGGTCTTGTTTTGTTCGTGACAATATAAAGGGCGCGTACGATAGCGTCCACCATGAGGCCATTCTTGATGCACTTGAAGACATCGGCGTACGTGGCTGACTCCACGCATGGATAGTGAGCTATCTCAGAGGACGTACCATTTTTATTTCGACATCTGCCGGCTACATGACCAGGCACCTCGTAAACCTTGGAGTTCTGCAAGGCGCCGTCCTGAACCCCATGCTTTTTAACATAGCACTCATGGGCCTTGAAGCTGAGCTTCCCGACGTTGTCAGAATCAGTGCGTATGCGGATGACATATGCATATGGGCATCTGAAGCAACATGACCACAACTGCGAGCAAGGCTACAACAAGGCACATCAATAACATCTAAGTACTTGCGTCGTCAGGGCCTGGAACTTTCAATAGCAAAATGTGCTGCATTGGCATTTATGAAGAAATCAATGTCACGGTACCCAATCTTCGCTCTCGGAGCAGTGATTCCCGCGGTCAAATGCCACCTCTATTTAGGGGTCGTCATTGATCGAAACCTGTCTTGGTCGAAGCATGTGACTGTGCTGCGGAACAAACTAATCAGTTTTGTGTGTGTTCTTCATGTTATAGCAGGACTGAGATAGGACCCTTCAGAAAAAGTTTTCTGCAGTTGAACGAAGCATTGTTTGTGGGCTATATACAGTACAGATCATCTGTACTTTCCGGCATGCGTGCAACGTGCCTTCGTACTTTAGAGAGCCTTCATGCACGAGCACTGAGAACAAGCCTGGGCCTAGCACGGTGCACGTCAACTTCTGGCACTATAGAGGAGTCCCGCACCTAACCTATAGAGGTTTACACGTCTTGTGAAACTCTTCCAGTGCACCTCCGTCTGCGGACCCAACATGCGCAGCCCCCGTTGTATTCGCTACAAGCGGACCGACCAGGCTGTACCTATTCGTGATGCCTCGGTACGCATAGACACGTGATCCCTTCAGGCTTTGCACCTGCCGTGATTCCTGGAGTACCTCCATGGACAGTGACAGAACCGCTGGTGTGCCTTCACATACGTGGAATTTCGTATAAGTCGCATGTTTCTTATATTGCCCAGAAGCAACTCACCTTGGCACATTTAGATGACCGAGACAGCGACTCTGTGCACGTCTACACCGATCGATCCGTAACTTCGTCCACCTCAGCTGCAGCCTTCGGGATCCCCCAACTTGGTATTTCCTGACAGTGCAAACTAGATCACAGGTTATCTTCAAAAGCTGCAGAACTTGTTATACAGGAAGCCATGAAATTTGTGAACGACCAAGCACTGCGTAAATGGGCGATTCTGTCCGATTCAAGATCAGTGCTTCAAGCTATCCATTCTTGCCCAAGAAGACGCCAATTTTACGCGTTAGCGTCAGGAGTATTTCAAGCATTTGACCTAACACAAGGAGTGGTCACTTAATTACACTCCAATGAATTCCGGGACACTGCGGCGTGGTTGACAACGACACAGCCAACAGCGAAGCAAGAGCAACAGTATACAATGCTCCTATGTACGTCAAAGTACCGTAATCATGAGCGATCTCAACACATTGTTGAGGTCGCTCATGCGCGAATGGGCTGCCACTTACTGGTCGCTGCCAGATCATCGGAACAAGCGTCTGCGGGAAACAGACCCCGGTATGAATTTTCGTATTCCAGCTAAAATCAGCTGAAAACATGCTAATATACTGCACCGGATTCTCCTGGGCGTCGCCTTCACTCGTCACTACACCCACCTAATCGGCCGTGTGGACAACCCGAATTGTGAGCGCTGCCATGTGCGCGAAACTATAGCTCACATATTTTGTGACTTGCTCATTATACGTGGCGCAAAGAAAATGCTAACTTCAACATTCGTGAGCATCGGACGAACTCCACTGAGCGAAAGCCACATATTGTCAGCAATGAACGACCAAACAGTGTCAAAAACTGCTACAAAGTCTGTTTTAGACTTTAAAAGCACTGGACTCCACTCCAGAGGCATTGTAGTACCCTACATTGTAGGGTACTACGCTAAGTGGGTGTACTGTAGATATGCACCACGCCTTCTTGTCCCCATCATCGTCCTTCATTCCTCTTTCCTTCCCCCTTTCCTTATCCCCTGTGTCGAGTAGCAGGCTAGAGCGAACTAGCACAGGCCGACCTCTCTGCCTTCTAATAAATTCTCACTGATTGACTACTGCTATATTTCACGTTCCATTGTGAAGCAAGTATACAGCAGACGTGTGTTTGTGAAGCGTAAAAGCCCCTTTCACTTTATTTCCAAGATGAGGAAGTTCACTGTTTTCACAAGAAGAGGCCTGGCCACGTGGTAAAACATCCACCTGCCACGCAAACGACCTGGGTTCGATGACCACTTAGAATTATGAAATCTTGGTTCAGTCCCAACTCTGCTCCAATATTTTATGTAATTTATTCATTTTCTTTTCATCATGCTGAACTTTTCGGTTACGCTTAAGATGACAATTTTTCGCTCACAGTCAACGGTGCCGACACCAGAATTTCTGCGAAATGAGCTCTTTAACGCTATTGCGGTAAAGCAGTTAAAGGTTTACGTTTATGGTGTTGACCCTTGTCTGTATTTAACCCCTAGTTTTAATTATTTTTCAAAAACTGTGAGCTGTGGCCCAGTGATTTTCGTGCAGCGAATATTTCTTTTTTCGGGTGATTTTCGCTTGTCACTTTGAGCCAAAGCGAAAAAAGAAATTCTCGTGATATTGCAGAGAATTTCATAAATGGGTAAATTCTCCTATGACGACCGATAATTAGCAATCACAGTGCGCCTTCGTCTGCTGTAATAGGTTCTGGCGCATGCACCACGCAAGCCTAGATAGCTCTTGAGATTCGTTTCTCATATTGACGCGGAGCGATTTCTAGTTTACTAATGGTGCTAGACTTAACGCACACAATGTGCAGTGTCCTTACCCTATATGAATTAATAAAGTTATGCTTTTGTTGTGCGGCAGTGAAGGGACTAGTCATGATTTCAAAAGTCGTCAGTACGTCAGACACGTGTGTCTGACGTGTGTCTGACGTACTCGGATGTGTGTGCGTGGATGGGGGCGGAAACTAGTATTGTTGCGCAGCGAAGTATGCTGGGAATTTTCTCAATGCTTGCAGGAAAAAAATTCATGAAATAGGGAAGTTTTATGTCTCTGAATGGAAATTTTCCTTCGTACTTCGGAACGTCACTGAGTTGCGCCAGACACTCAGAAAAGTCTATCAGCTAAGCACCTCACACTGTTTCATCACGGTGAAGCACGTAGTGTTATCTTCATCGTGAAACTATTTTTTATTTTACTAAGCCTTGTGTATCGAGTGGTATGATATTACCCTAAAGTATTTCGTTTTCATTGGGCCTTTCAAATGATCATCGCTTTTCAGTGTAATCACGCTGTTCACACGTCGGATAGATTATTTTGTAAGATGGATCCGCAATCTGAAATTGAAGCTGCCTTCGCTTCTTATAGTATTCTTCCGTGTTATGTGATCATAGAAATCAACACAGTAAAGCATTGTACACTCGTTTGAATTTCTAATAGATTGACCACTCATATCGCTGTCTGTGATACCTGGCGCAATGCTGCTTAGCGCAGACTGTGGCATCAGTAATGAAACACATGGCAACAACCATAGAGTTTACTAAAATTAACTACAGGTGAGTCTGGCGCTACGATCATTCAGCGACCATTAGAATAAAGGGTAGTACACAGATTCGCTTAGTCTTCGCACTTGCAGGTAGCGAATCATACTAGCGGCTTTGTTTATTGCTGTGTTTTGGTTTAGTTTTGAAGGAAAGAACAAACCATTTTGAACTTCATGACCCGATTTGAAAAGGTAAGCGTAAGAAAATAAGGTGATGAAGCACAACCACTGAACATTTGCTAATTTTTGTTTCGTGAGAAAACAGCTCCAAGACACACGAACACATGCGGAGCCAGAAGCAGGCCAGAAGTACGAAAATTATACAAATCTGTGTACTACCCATCATTCTCATGCTCGCTGAAGCGCCATGTGTTGCAGCTTCCATAGACACTTGCGCCAGAGTTCCATCTAGTGTTCCATCCATATTGGGAAGCTCATAGCAATAAAGACTATATCTCACGGCCACCGCTGTAGAATATTCTTGCACGCTTTCGATGGGTGAACTCACTTGGTAGGGCCTCTCGCCGTAAGACATTGCCTCCCAGAGGGTAACGCCAAAGCTCCACACGTCCGATTTAGTGCTGAACTTGAAGAAGTAGATGCACTCTGGCGCGTACCACCTGAGAGGCCACTTGCCAGCCGCCTGCGCCTGTGCATGTATAAATGAAAAAGGCCATTATTGAAAATGCAGTCGAAATAATGCACCAAGTCTATATACCATCCCTCATTCTACGTATAGCCACGAGGAACAGGGCATCAAACGGGCAGTGTTTTTCTATTGGTAGTCAAAGATTCGTCTTTATCATGTTTTATAAGAGACTTCACAAATTGCAAATGCAATTTTTAACGAAAACATAATAACAGTTAATGGCTAAATGAGTTTCTGGAGAGATAGAGTAAGCTAGTGTTGATGAAAAGATCAGGATGCCAAAATATTGAGTGCTTGGTCAATTATAGTTTGCACCCTTGCGTGGAATAACTGGCATGACTCATGGGTTCTGTTTCAGATTATCTGATCAAATGTAAAAAAGAAGGCTAAATAATTGGCCCCGTATGAGCATGTTTCACTGCCAATGCCACCGAAAGACAATACTCTTGAGTGTGGAGAGAATGAACAAAGCGTTTATTTGATGTTCTGCGCGAAAAAATCGATGAATTTCATTCTAGAAGCGCTGAATTGGAGAGTCTCGATCCATGTAGTGAAGGCAAGCGAGCACATCGAGGAACGTCAGACATGAGCGCCATCCGGCAGTTATCTTCGGTAAACGAAGGAAGGCGTGCGCGCCCACGCAGAAAGATGCGCGCATGTCTCAGAGGCAATAACGTGTGGAACGCAAAGTGATGGGCAGGTCTTAGCGAAGCATTGGAAACACTTGCCTTTTTGAGCATTGCGTTGCACTGTCAGCGCAGCGTGATAACGCTACGGTCCTTAGAATGACTTATGTGTGCCTTTTCTAGTACAAACCCACACATATAAAATATTGTCGTGTTGTTATGGTGCCTCAAATAATCCGCAGTAATTGCTTTTAAATTGACAATCGCGCAAGTGTAAATGCTGTAACTTGAGGATAATTGGTGGGTGCTGCGGATGGGACTAGCTGTTAGACGTATCGTTTGGCGCCGTTTAAGACATCGTTAGCGCAAACAAACAGACAAATATACAGACAGACAGAAAGACAGACGGATGAAAATTTTGCCGTCGATTGTCCCCAAGAAAGACTGTCATCTGTTTAAAAAACTAGAGCCTTCAGAGATGAGGCGAACAGAAGAACTAGACATATGCCTGTATGTGTCACACAAACTAAACCAATGTGTCTCATAGGTCTGTTGAGAATATTGAGAAATCGAGCTACGATAAAAACAAGAACCACCTCAATAATCTGCATCTTCATTTGATTCCTAAGTTAGCTCTTGACTGAATATACGAAAAAGGCAACTTCAACATTGTTACACTGTAACTACTTTCAAGTTGCGCTGTTCGTGTATTCAGTTATGTCCTTCCAATTAGCCCAAGCTTACACGCTTCATAAGTTCCTGACCTATGGGCACATGTATCTGCTCTGTTTTCTAAGAAATCACATTATTTTGCCACTCTTCACACTCCTAATGTGCTGAAACTAACACATGTCAGTTGCCTCCTCCACCGTCACGTGTAGTAGTGGAGTAAAACCGTGTAACTTTGTCAATATTCGGTGAATTGTAGTTCCTCAATCGGTACTGGTAATTTGTGGTGTCTTTTGAGTTTATACGATAATTTCCCATGTTAGCTTTGACGTGTACTGTTAATAGGTCTTGTTTCACTTGTTCCTTATAATTTCCGAAGCTATCATTTGGGTTTTTGTTTATATCTTGCCTCTTGCACCTGTCATGCTTAGACCAATTCTTGTTTGGAAGTATTGACTAAATAAATGAAGCAATAATAAATAAACAAGTAAATAAATAACCACTCTTAAGGTGTAAGAAAGGCTCTGTGAGTGAATATTGCCCAATTGCAACGCGTGCATACTTTCAAGGTTACGAAAAGTGCTTTTGCTGAGCAATAATGTGTTCTTGAGAAAGCTTAGACGAAGCACGTGCATGCTTTTGGGGAGTTGCTCTTGAAAAGTGTGGTATATTTAATGAGGTAAATAGTGCAGCCTGGAGCAATGTTTCGTGCAGAACTAGAATTCCGAAGCAGATTACGTGGGGGTGCTAACACACCCTGTAAAGTTGTTTGCGCCTGATAGCGCACGTGTCTCGTTCATAGGTAGCATTTCGGGTTTCCAACTACCGGACAATAGGTGGCGTTGTGCTCATGAGCGTTTATCACCCAACCATCATAATTCATGGTTGTTAGATCGCCAGTGCCGGCGGCGACACCTGGCGGCAAGCCTGGGTGGGGGCGCAGAAGAAAGAAGCTAGCGAGTCTTTTTGGCTGGCGGCGTTCGGCGCGAACAGTTGTCTCTCACACTGGGACCCCGGTGCCGGCCCCGCGGGCCGTCTGCCGAGGTCCTTGTGGTTAGTCAGGCGTTAGCGACACCATCTTGTTTGTCATGTTGTTGAGTGTTGTTTGATATTGTGTGAAAATAAGTCTTAATGTGTTGATCACGATTGATGTTTTATTAATTCGGCTGACGATATCGTTGATCAAAAGCAGTTAAATAAATGTGTGTTGTTTTGGTTTGTTCCGACCATGTCTACTGTGTCCATTCACTCCAAGAGCGGGGCGCTCACTCGTCAATTCGAGACCCCACACTGGCGGCCCAACTTGGGGCTCTTGGAGCATTGGACGACAGTTTTCGTGGCTCGGTACAAGCTTTTGTTAGAACCGTGGTAGAGTAGGCCTAGAGGGACTTCTTTGCTAGCGTCGGTGGTGTGCTTTGTTGAGAGCGAGGAGATCGGTTTTTGTGACGTGTTTGAACTTGTCGGCACGTTGAGTATTTTTTCTCTGCTCGCCATTTTTTGTTGTCGTTGGTTTTCAAGAACGTTGTTCAGTTGGGACGAGAGCCATGCGGTCTGCATCCTGGTGTGATCAAGGCTTAGAACACGTGGATGTAGGCCAAGCCCGAAGCGAGTGAGTACAGAAGCCTCGTAGGTGGTCCAAGATTCTGTAAATAGCTTGTTCTATCTCTTTGGACTCAGGGAGTCGGGCGTCGTTGCTGCCTTGTATTGCGGCTTGAGCCGAGACATCATGACAACGCCTGGAACGGTGGGCGCCGATCGCTTGGTAAGCTACTGTGTGCGGCGAGTGATAGGGCCACCTTACAGAGTGGACGAGTCTTTGCGGCTGCCTCTTCTGCGTCTAAGGCTAGGGGCTGTGTGGATGCCAGTAGTTGTGAAGCGACTCATTAGGCATAAGCCTCTGCGCAGCTCCGTGTGGCACGTGGCACAACTAGGTGGATCGTGGTGTTGAGGTGTTATACTCTGCTTTCCTCTTTTTTTATATTTTGCGATGCACGAGGAAAGAAAAGTGGCCTTGATTTTAATTTTGTGCTGGGCGTCTCAGTCGCAGCCGATGTATTAAATAACAGTACTAGCCATCTAATGACGTATCGAGAAGCCCGAAGCTCCCTTCCTCAGGCTCTACTCCATTGTTCAGTCGAGTGTTCTGATTCTACGCAGCAGGAGTGACGTAGCCTGCAGCTGGCTGTCTTCTGCACATCATCAGCGCCACTGGCCGGGAATGCGGGCGTGAGGTTAGGCGATTAACATGCCTGGGACCTGCGCAACTGCCTGCTCGTGAATTCTGGTCGCAACTAGAAGACGTGTCGGTGCGAGTGACGGTTCGTCGCGCTGACAGCAACGTTGCTGTTGCGGGACCGGTAGTATGGTGAAGTCGTCAAGCCGGATAGTGCAGCAGTGTCGACCGGTGGCGGTGTCGTAGTGCGCGGATAGTGTGCAGGGACATGTGTTGTCATTTTTTGTTAAAGCTTGTGTAGCTGATTTCTTTCATGTTTTTCTTATCGGAATATGGTTTGAATTAGAGTTCGGAGGATGCGGAGATGCTAACCACCCCTGTAAAGTTGTTTGCACCTCATAGCGCATAGGCCGTGCATAGGCCGCATTTCTGGTATACAACTAATGGGTGGTAGGTGGCGCTGTGCTCGTGAGCGTTTATCACCACCATCATCATAATACATGGTCCTTAGATCGGTCGCGCCGGCGGTGACACCTGGCGGCAAGTCTGGGTGGCGGCGCAGAAGAAAGAAGCTAGCGAGTCCATTTGGCTGGTGGTGTTTGACGCGAACGGTTGTCTCTCACAGTGGGACCACGGTGCACGGTACCGCTGGCCGTCTGCCGGGGATCCTTGTGGTGAGTCAGGCGTCAGCGACACCACCTTGTTTGTGATGTTGAGTGTTGTTTAATATTGTATAAGGATGTCTTAGCGTGTTGATCACGATTGATGTTATATTGATTCGACTGATGATATCATTGATCAAACCAAGTTAAGTAAATGTGTGCTGTTTTAGTTTGTTCCAGTCGTGTCTACGGTGTCCGTTTACTTCAAGAGCGTGGCGCTCGCTCGCCACTTCAAGATCCCACAGTCCTGGCCCCACTGGTACTCAGGTAACAAAACTGTCGCTAAAGTTTCTCGGTATAGAATCGGCTAAAGTTTCTCGGTATAGAGAATGGGGCTTCAGCACTTTCCACTTCATCTGCATGCAGCATGCGAACAGCCCTGTGTGCGCGTACCTTGTAGTAGTCCTTGCCGGAGCCCAGTGCTCGCGTCATGCCAAAGTCTGAGACCTTGACGAAGCGGTCGTTGACCAGAAGGACGTTCCGCGCGGCCAGGTCCCGGTGGACCAGCTGTCTCGCTTCTAGATACGCCATGGCGCCGCACACTTGCGATGCCAGCGCCAGAACACGACCAGCCCCATTCTTTTGGATCTGAGATCTACGTGAACAGAACCGAACCCGTCGTTATTGGAGTGGCGTGACAGGTAAAGATGCTAACGTATTGTCGTGTTAGTGATGAAAAAATTCAGGTGCCCACAAGAAATTTCAACTCCTATGCTGAAAAATATAACTGTGAATGTGTAACTAAGACGTTGTAGCTGGTAGTGCGCGAGTTCTTTTGTTGCGAGCGCAATCAGCTTTGATGCTCCCGTCAAGCAGCCAGGAAGTGTAAAATAGTTTTTTTTGTTTTCAATAGAATTCACTTGGTCACACGTAGCCAGGCACCAACGTCCAGTTATATAACAAATGTGAAGTTTCAGTCTCTCGGTATTTACGTCACCACGCATAAGAAATTTAATGACTTCCTGTGTATTAGGCTTCACGAATGGTGTTTCTGTCCGAGATAGCGGGACGCAAAGGAAGTGTTAGCGCTGCTTTGCGACAATTTGTAACGTTGGTTGGCTTTTGCAACACTTGGCCAACAGTAAGTGCGACTTGTTTTTTCTTTGCTCCTCTCAAGCTGTTCTCACAAAACTGCTCTATGTCATATCGTGCTAAACCAATATGCTTTGCTAAAGGTGATCATATGAACGCAAATTTGCACTATTTCCTTCGCACTCGCACCGCTGCGGTGGTCTAGTGGCTAATGTACTCGGCTACTGACCCGCAGGTCGCGGGATTGTATCCCGGCCGCGGTAGCTGAGTTTTAGATGGAGGCGGAAATGCTGTAGGCCCATGTGCTCAGATTTGTGTGCACGTTGCAGAACCCCAGGTGATCGAAATTTCCGGAGCCCTCCCCTACAGCGTCTCTCGTAACCATATGGTGGTTTTTGGACGTTAAACCACACATATCAATCAATCAATCAATCAATCAATCAATTAATTAATCAATCAATCAATCAATCAATCAATCAATCAATCAATCAATCAATCAATCAATACTTTGTGCTCACATCTTTAGTGTTCTTTTTAGCGGATAGAAGTTGAAACTTGTGCATACATATTAAATAATTTTCGAGTTTTATGGTCTAAAGCAAACTTCCTAGATGAATATTCAGCGAACTGGGAGCGTGGGAGGAACACAGACAGGAAGCAAAGATGAGACACACAGCACGCGAACGCTCAGCACGTGAGCCTCCTTTTGTCTGTGTTCCTCCCGAACTCCCACGTCACTGAACAGTCATGAATAACCAACTAGCCCACTTGTCCATCCTACTGCAATGCATTCCTAGATGAAGTCAGTCCCGTAAAATTTAGAAAGCGCAGCTACCGCGGTATACATGATGAATTTTATTTTCCAAGCGTCCTACACCCCTAACGAATGAGCTTCTATTCACAACAATTCCCGGAAAAAGCGGCAGCGAATACAAATAAAGGCTGAAAAATCTCACCTCTTAAGCCTTAGGAAACGGTTTAGGGGCCCTAGTGGAGCCAGCTCCATGACTAACATCAGTGACTGTCCTTGGGATATCCCTGCACACAATAAAAAACACATGTTTCTTGTTATAATTCTAGGGGCTGCCAGCTTATAATAACTATCAAGACTGACTCATTTTCCAGCATATGAAGCGGATCATGAGCGGATCTCGTGTTGCCGCCTCCATGGACGAAAGATACCGTTGATGACTGCTTGGAAGTGTTTTTCGTGTCTGAAGACGTCTGATTGGCCCCGCATACCGCAATGTTTGTGTGTGTAAACTCTTCGCGTTCTTGTGCTGTTTCTTAGTACGGTTTAGCCGAGCCGAACTTCAGTAACGCCCTTAAGAAAAACGTTATTGTGCCTCGTTACCTCTTGCTCATCGTCGATGGTTGTGCCGATTTGTGGACTGTGAAAGTTTCTGCGCAGCCCATATATCTGCCTGCAGGACTTAAATTGGCAAGCTTTCAAGAGCAAAGTACTCTTACCATACGGTCACTCCAACTGTCGGTGGATGTAAAGAAACCCCACGCCAACTCGTACCGCGACTATTCTGCCAGCATTGACCGTATGATTAACAAGTCACTTCCATCAACTGAACGGTCGCTGCTGCAGGAGGTGATCACACGCTACGCCTTAGTCTTTGACTTTGCCCAAGACGAGACGTCTACCATTACGCCACCGTCTTCACGTACGCAACACCGCATCTATACAGGCCAAGCACCACCAATACGCCAGAAGCCCTATCGTGTCTCGCCTTCCGAAAGGAAAGTCATCGCTGAGCAAGTTGAAGACATGCTAAAGAAGGGCGTCATACAAGAATCGTGTAGTCCATGGGCAGCTCCTGTCATTCTAGTGAGGAAAAAGGATAATTCATGGAGATTCTGCGTAGACTATCGTCGCCTAAATGCCATCACAAAAAAAGACGTCTACCCTTTGCCACGTATAGATGACGCCGTGGACTGCCTGCATTTTGCCTCCTATTTTTCTTCTGTTGACTTGCGTTCTGGGTATTGGCAAATTCCTACGCATCCCTCAGATAAAGAGAAGACGGCCTTCGTAACACCAGACGGTCTCTTTGAGTTCAACGTTATGCCCTTTGGTTTGTGCAATGCTCCAGCGACATTCGAGAGATTTATGGATACAGTACTCCGTGGACTAAAATGGGAAATTTGCATGTGCTATTTAGATGACGTGATTATCTACGGCAAGACTTTTCAAGAGCATAACCACCGCTTGTCGCTTGTGTTTGAATGCTTACGCGAAGCTGGCCTTGTTTTAAACTCAAAGAAGTGTCATTTTGGAGAACGTCAAGCCCTCGTATTAGGCTTTCTCGTGGATAAAGAAGGCGTGCGACCAGACCCACAGAAGACCGCAGTGGTTCGCAACTTTGAACCACCACGAACAGTGAAGGACCTGCGAAGTTTTCTGGGTCTGTGCTCATATTTCCGCCGATTTATTAAGAACTTCGCACAACTTGCCTCTCCACTGACGTCCCTTCTTCATAAAGACACACCGTACTTGTGGGATGATAAATGTCAGGCTGCATTTAAACAGCTGAAGTTTTCATTGACTTCAGGACCCATCCTAAAGCATTTTGATCCTGATGCTTTGACTGAACTTCATACTGATGCTAGTGGGCTAGGTGTTGGTGCTGTGCTGGTCCAACTCTGCAACAGTCGCCAGCACGTCGTAGCATATGCCAGTCGGACACTGAACAGAGCAGAGACGAACTACACCGTCACCGAGCTCGAGTGCTTAGCAGTCGTCTTTGCCATTCAGAAGTTCCGACCGTATCTACATGGCCGCGAGTTCACAATAGTGACCGATCACCACTCACTATGCTGGCTTGTGGGACTTCGTGACCCGTCTGGCCGGCTGGCTCGTTGGGCGTTGCGCCTCCAAGAGTACAGCTTTTCTGTTACCTATAAGAGCGGACGATGTCACACAGATGCCGACTGCTTATCCCGCCTTCCTTCAGTACACACCAATGCTGACGACAATGACATTCATGACTATTTAGTTTCTGTCTCGTCCGACTTCCCAGATACCAGCAGCTTCAAACGTGAGCAGCAGCACGACCCTACTCTGAAACCTTTGCTCGAAGCTGCACATAACTCCGTCGACAAGCACTTTAAAATTTCAAATGGCTTGCTGTATAAAATAAACTATTCAGCCGATGGCCTCCCGTTGCTTCTAGTGGTGCCGGAAAGCCTGCGCCAGGTCGTCCTTCGTTCTGCGCACGATGACATAACATCCGGTCATCTCGGTTTCACACGTACGCTGCATCGACTACGTGAGAGGTTCTACTGGACAAAAATGTGGAAGACCACAAAACAGTACGTCACCAGCTGCGCTATATGTCAGCGCCACAAGCCATCCACCACTGCCCCGGCGGGTTATTTGCAGCCCATCCCTCCACCGACATCCCCTTTTGAAAAAGTCGGCATCGACTTGCTCGGACCCCTTCCTAAGACTCCATCAGGCCACCGATATGTTATAGTGTGCGTGGATTATTCAACGCGTTATACGGAAACGGACGCACTGACATCGGCCACAGCAGCCGCTGTTTCTTCTTTTCTGTTACAACAGGTCATACTGCGTCACGGTGCTCCACGGGTTGTCATCAGTGACCGTGGACGACAATTTATGGCCGATGTGGTTGAAGAAATTTTGCGCCTCTGTGGCTCCTCTTATCGCCACTCCACCCCTTACCATCCGCAAACTAACGGTCTCACTGAGAGAACAAATCGAACTCTCACGAATATGTTATCGATGTACGTTGATGCTGACCACAGGAACTGGGACGCCGTCTTACCGTTTGTTACTTACGCGTATAACACCGCCAAGCATGAAGTTACTGGACATTCACCCTTCTTTCTGCTTTACGCACGAAATCCACAGAGTTTTCTGGACACTCTATTACCTTTCTCGCATCAGGAAGATCTGTCCATCGCTCAGACGTTGTGTCGCGCTGAAGAAGCACGTCAACTAGCGCGCCTTCGAACATTGTCTTCGCAAGAACACAGCAAGAGTCGCTACGATGCCAAGCATATCCCCGTAGAGTTTTCTCCTGGTGACTACGTGTGGCTGTGGACTCCTGTTCGTAGAAAAGGATTGTACCGGAAGTTTCTAGCAAACTATTCCGGCCCATTCGTGATAGTCACTCGTCTCAGTGACGTGAATTACGTTGTCGCCCGAGTCACAGCCAATAACCGGCGTTCGCGCACTACGCAAGTTGTTCACGTAGCCCGCCTCAAACAGTACCATCATAGGCCTATTTAACTCGCTCGGCGAGCTTCGTCTGCCGCCGGGGGAAATGAAACGAAGATGCGCGAGCCTACGGGGCGCGGAAGAAGAAGAAGGGTAGTGGAGCGGCGCCTGGACTGTGTGGTTGGGTGGAAGCGTTCTTGGCCTGTCTCAGAAGTACGCTGCTATTTCACAACGCCTTTTCACCTCATCTGTAAATAAACACATTCACTCGCAACAATATGACTCATAAAGCGTTTTAAAACAGCGAAAGAACGAACAGTTGTCGCACACTGCGAATAGCGTAACGTCCAACGCTCCAACCCATTAAAAAAGCTTGTTCTTGTTCAGCTATTAGCTGTGGTGCATACCCAGTAAGGTAATAAATAAAGACGTGTATAAGCTTTTTGACGCTTCCTCTTTGAATGCACATGGTTTGCAAGCACAGCCGCTCAAATGTTCAAGT